CTCACCGCCGCGGCGACAGCCGTGTAGTCGGCGGTATCGCAGCCGCATCTCACGAGATCGCGTTCCCAACCCCCCGGCTTCGCCGTACCCCCAGGTTCGGGGAGGTGCTGCGCGGCGTGCTGGCGCTCGTGCGCGACCGCGGCGTCGCGATCGACGCAAACTACATGACCCTCGTCACAAACGTCCTCTGCCTCGAGGGGATGGCGGGCACGCTCGTCCCAGAGTACAACGTGCTCGACGCCGCCCGGCCGCTGCTCGATGCCCACCGCGCGCTGCCGCGCCCCCTCTTCCGGCTGGCGATGCCGCTCGTCGCCAGCTTGAAGCGAGTCAAGGACCGCGTGTGCCGATGAGCCGCGCGCCCGTAGCGCGCCCCCGGCGCTGCGCACTAGCGCGGAATGATCTCGACTCCTCGCCTCGCGCGTGTACGGCTGTTGCGCTGGCCCGACATCCGTCGATCTGTGTCTCGCGCGCTGCGCGACGCCTCACATCCCTTTCGTCGTTTTCGGTTTGTCGTTTGTGTTTACCAGTACCGCTTCCACGACCGGGTGTTGGCTGTTGCTCTCAGGTGTCGTTGCTCGGAGGAGGCTGCGCTGCGCAAGCACGGGCGGGAGGGGCTTCTCTCCTGCGGAGTCGTGCGTGCGCAGGGCTCCTCTTTGCTTTCACTTCTACTCCCTACTATCATCTCGTTCTCCCGTCCTACCTCTTGTACCAGAGAACCAGCAGAGAACTCGGCGCGCGCCAACGATTGTCACCGTCAGCGGGTCCTGAGTTTTTGCTGGGCGGAGGTTCGCTGATGAGGAAAGTCATTTCCACCGCCGCTTGAACACCTCGAAGATCCGCGTGAACACCTCGAAGATCTACCGGCGCCCGCTTGAACACCTCGAAGATCCGCGTCGATCATGGCGCTGGAGCCATCATGGACGCTCGTGGACTCGGCGGGCGTCGTCCACGTGGTCGCGGGCAGGTCCGCGCTGTCGCAGATGTTCGGCAAGAACACCAAACCGACCTACAACAACATGCTCGAGCTGGTCGGCGAGGGTTCGCGAGGCGTCGTTGGCTACCTTTGCAAGGACGGCTGGCGGATGCTGCGCGAGCTACCGTGGCTGCAGCACAAGGAGAGCAAGCGGATCGTGCCCGTCGTCGGCTCGGCCGCCCAGTTCCTTCAACGTGCAGCAGCCGATGCCGACATGGCGGGCTTCATCTTGAACGGCAAGGCTAGCCAACCCTTCACTCGACTGATCGCACGGCCCGGCGCCAGCGGCATGCGATGGACCGGCGCCGGCTGACCGACTGCACTTCGCGCCGCCGGGCGGCTCTCCTGCTCGAGCAC